CATAATATGATCATTAGAGTCAGGACATTTAATGTAGAAACAATGCTATTATCTAACTTACAGACCATATTCCAATTTTGCCAACTGTCTCGAAATGTCCTTTCTAGCCCCTTTTACCCAGGTCCAGGATCCCACATTGCATTTCGTTGTCATGTCTCTTTAGCTGCCTTTAATCTGTAACAGCTCCTCAGCCTTTGTCTTTCAAAACTTGACATTTCTTCAGAGTACAGGCCAGTGATGTTTCATTGATCCTCATTTACTCAGGAGAAAACGGATGGTCAGAGAGGTAAAGACATTCGCCCAAGGCCACAGAGCCCATGAGTGGACCACCTGGCTCCACCGTCCACTTTCCATCGGGACACCCAGCCACCTTTCAACTGACTGAGGGCCCATTAAGAGCCTAGCACTAACTGACATGTTTATAACCACAAGCCAGTGCATCCTTACCATAACTCCATGAGGCTCAGAGAGGTGAAGTAACTTGCTCAAGGTCACAGAGCATGTAAGTGGAGTTAAGTTCAAGCTGGCCCCTACTCAGAGCTGCCCCTAGAAAGGGGTCTGGCTTCCAGTTCTGGAGTTGGCTTCAACTCTTAGATTTCTCATTTGTAAAATGGGGATGATGATACTGACCTCACAGGGAGATTTAAGGATCTGATGTGAATGCCCTTTCTTAGCACAAGTTTAAGTGTAACACAGGTTAGCTCTACCTCAGAAATCTTCCAGAGTGCCCATCTCTTCAGCCTGTCGTTGAAGTCCATCAGGGCTCTGGTTCTATTTTACCTATCCAGTTCCTAGTTCACATTTTGCCTGAGCCTGTGTTTCTTCACCCAGATAGTGGGGGTGTTAGCCCCCCACTTCACCAGGCTATTGTAGGTATAGAGTGGGATGGGGGCTCCAGCAGACGGTCCAGCATATAACTGTTCCTTGGTAAATGTTAGAAGTTGTCAGTTACCGTTGTCTCCTCTGCACATTCTCTACCCTAGCCAGAATGGCCTTTTCAACATCCTTGGGATATGCCCCGAGTAATCCCACCACACAGCTTTGCACAAGCTTGCTCCCTTTCCTTTTGCCTCTCTGAATCCTGTCCCTCTGGTCCCTCAGCTCGGCTGCTTCCCCTTCCATCTCATCCAGTCCCTCCTGGATTCTTGCTTTGGCTTCTCTCTTGCTAAGCATCGGGGTCCGCTCTCTTGAGCTGGAGTAGGATGTGGTGCCCTCCCTGTTCCTATTGTTAGGGGTAAAGTCTTAATGTCTGTCTGTGACTCCCATGGGCCAGGCATTAACTCTCTAGTTGATGGCTAGTGGGAAGTTCTGGGGATCCTGGTGGAAGGGTTGGGGCAGGTGGGGTGATAGAAGATCACTCAGGGATTGGGCAGCAGCTGGATACCAACCAATATCAGGGATGTTGACGCTTTACCACTTAGTGTGGTTGCACTGGGATATACTGGTAAATCTCGGCCCTATTGGAGACACCAAGCCCAAGACGTCAGTCAAGCCAGCCTCATTGGTTGGGCATCCTCAGGACCCCTTCCTGCCCGGCCTCTGCTACCTAGGCCCCGATTCCCTTTATGGCAGCCGCGGGCCCCGAGATGGCCAGCGCAGTCAGAGCTCTGCCAATGCCAGTGACTGATTAGTTACACGCCGGCTCCAGTGAAAAATTGAGTGCACAGCAATTCCAGACAATTAATGAGGAGGCCCAGGAGTGGGCTGTCATGAGTGGAGCAGTGACTCTCTAAGTCACTCGCCCATCCTTCTCAGGACCCAACCCCGTGGTCCGGTGGTGGGCACATTGCAAGGGAAAACACTGCATCTCGGCCTCTTGGGGCTCCCACTCTGGTGGGAGAGAACAAGCGTGCAGCCCACACTTGTTGGCATCTGGGAGTCTAGGGGACTGAAAGGCAGGGAAGACCTGAGGATGTGGTGGATGAGTAATGACCATAATATAAGCTGCTATTTCCTGACCACCTACTCTAGCCAGCTACTATTCCAACTGTACACACTGTCTCATTCAATCCTCTAGGCAGGCCCCATGAGGGAGACGTGAGTAAACCGAGGCTCACAGAGGTTAAGGACTTGTCCGATAAAGTGATTAGTGGAGCCAGGATGCCTCTCCTTCAAAGTCCCTGCTGGTCATTAGCACCCACGAGCGTCTATCCAGCAGCTACAAAGGAGCAGATTCTAATTCAGTCTCTGGCGTCAACTGCCTTCCCAAGCCTGCATTTCTTACCTGGAAAATGGGGATCTTGATCCCTGCTTTTCAGGGCTGTTGTGAGGTTGAGAAATAATGCGTGTCAAGTACCTGGCACATAGCAGGTGTCTGATAAGTGGTAACCGGTATTACTGTCCCAGGTGGAAGCTATCCATTCTGGGAAACCTGAAAGGCGTGGAGGTGTTTGGTGATGGCAGGGTCACCTACCAGGGGAGGCCTGATGATGGAGAGGTCAGCAAGGACCGGAGCACCGAGTACCTTGAGTTCCTAGGGCCGAATGGTTTGGACTTGATAGAGCTGAATGGTTTGGACTTGATAGAGCAGTGAGAGGCTTTTAAACGGTGGAGTCCCTGCCAGATGCCAGGCACTGTGCTAAGTTCTGAGGATATGGGAACTAGCTAGATGTCCGTGATCTTCATCTGTAGGCTGGGGACTAGGAGCAATCCTACGAGGGCAAAATTACTTCCAGAGAGGTGTCCCCAAAGGAAAAGCCCAGGAGACTCTGGGCCAGATATGGGCCTTGACCCAGCAAGGATCAGAGAAGGCCCCTGGAAGAAAGTGCCATGTAAGTTGCGTCCCAAGGAAGAGTGGGAGGCAGCAGAAGGAGCGTGGGGCAGCATCCAGAAGGAGCTGGGTGCACGGTAGGCCTGGAGGGAAGCCTGTGTGTGTGACAGGAACGAGGGGGCGGCCCACTGGGCTGAGGACGTGGCGGTGGAGATGTGTTTGGAAAGCTTTCAAAAGCAGGGTGGGGGACAAACCTGAGGGAAAGAGGCCTGAAGAGACCAGTACGGAGGCTGGAGCCGGATCTAAGGCAAGGGAAATTTGGGGGATGGGAGAAGGGAGGCTTCTTGGCGGAGGTGTCAGTAGCAAAACGCTGGAAGATTGGGGCGATCGGTCTAGTCCTTGAGTTCTGGGGCGATGGGACCCAGCCTAGCCCATAGGCCAAGCCCTACGTGTTCTGTGTACATTTAGCACAAATACCCTCCTTCGCGTTGCCTCCAGAGATCCTGCACGTGGCAGCTGCAGTTCTGGGCACAACTGAGCGCATGCTGTCCCCGCCCCTGGCAGATGCTCATTTGAGTTTATTTGCATAACGTCTCCGCCCACTCTGGGCCCAGCTGCTCCGGGCCCTCCAGCCCTTAGTGCGGCCCTGCGCCCCCTGCCGGCCACAGAGGCAGCGCAGCCCAATGTCACCTCCTCCGCCCAGCGCCCCCTGCAGGCCCCCGAGCGCGGGCCGCCCAGGGCCCCGAAGTTTCAGAAAAGCAGCGCTAAGCCGGGACTTAGCCTGGAGCCCGCGGCGCCCAGTGTTCTAGCCCCTTCGCTATCTGGGCCCTGATATCCTCCAACATCTCTCCTGGCCCCCTGCACTCAGACACCCCCAAATTCTCGGTGCCCACTCAGAGCTTCAATGCCGGTCCTTTTACATGCAGATTGTTCTGCCAGCAATGCCTTTCCCACCCTGCGCTCCAAGGGAACTTGGTCGGGGCCCGCTCCAATAGCCCCCTCTTTTGGGAAGCCCTCCCAGACCCTCCTTCCGGAATCCCCCCTCCACCTCACCCAGGAGGAGCTGCGATCTTCTGCGTGCCTGGGGGCGGTTTTGGATGATGGGGACGGGGGGCTCGGGCAGGCTCCTCTCACTCCCTGCCGTCCCCTCCCGCCCCTCAGGCCATTTACAAGATGGTTTCGTCCGTGATGAAGATGCCGGAGGACGAGTCGACCCCAGAAAAGAGGACCGAGAAAATCTTCCGCCAAATGGACACAAACAACGACGGTGAGGGGCAGGGGCGGGGCGGGGCGGGCGCCACTCCCCCTTCCTCTCCCGCTGTTCTGCCTCCCCTCGGGGCGCGGCCGCCTTCTCCATCACTGCTCCCTTCGCCCCGCAGGCAAGCTGTCCCTGGAGGAGTTCATCCGCGGGGCCAAAAGCGACCCGTCCATCGTGCGCCTGCTGCAGTGCGACCCCAGCAGCGCCTCCCAGTTCTGAGCGAGAGGACCCAGGTTCCCCTCCTCCCTGCCTTCACTGGCCCTCTCCCGGCACTCAGCTTCCTCTCCCTTGTGTCTATCCAGCCTGGGGGTCAGCCTGGGCACCTCCCCCCAGGGCCTGCACTCCGGGGTCTATGGAGAAGGCAACCCGCAGTACCCCCAAGGCCCAAGCAAGCAAGCGGTCCGCACCGTCAATCCGAGAGGCGGTATCTCCCTTAGGCAAGGATTGAGACGCAGGCTCTGGCTGGATCTGCCCTCCCTCACCCAGAGGGAACTTTAACCATTCTCCCCCGCCCCCACCCGCCCCCAGACCCACACGCAGCCTCGGGCTCCTCCCCCCAACCACCGGGCAAGCTCCCCAACCCCCACCCTCGCCCTTGTAGCTCTCAGTCAGGGTGGAGGGGGAATCATGCCCAGGTGAGGAGGCTGTCTTCATTTGGAAAGGAGAGAAGGATTCTAGGGGTGTGGGGGTTTGAGGAAAAAGCTTCCTTGAGCCATCCTTTCCTGCAGGAGGGCCTCAACCCTTCCTGTTCCACCGCTCTTGTTGGCCCGGAGGCCAGGATGCAAAAGGAAAACCTCTGGGTTCCAGCCTCCCAGCTGTGGGTCCCATGAACCCCCCCACCTGCCTTTCAGCACTTGGATGAACACAGACCCACTGATCCCTCGGTGTACTTTTCCTCTCTCAGACACACACACCAGGCCCACGGATGGGCAGACACACCCAGAGCCCCACCCACAGCATCCTGTGTGGGAAAACAGCACAGGACCCCCCCCCCCCCCAAGTCCCCTCCCCTGCTGCATGCATCCACGTGGAGCATCTCTGTTCTTTTTAATAACTTCGAAATAAAGTCTCATTTCAGTGCAGTGGGCTGGGTAGCTGAGGGAGGGGGTGGAAAGCCCTACTGGGGTCCCCGAGTGACCAGTGAGCTGGGGTCTGCTCCAGGAACCCTGGCCTGGTCACAGCGCAGACTGGGTTGTGGGGCCCTAGTGGTCATGGGGCCTGGATGGGGCATCAGCTCTCAGAGGGTCAGCGGCTCAGAGCTGGTGCAGCTCAGCAGGTCATGGCCCTCCACAGGCTCTGGGCTCTCCTGCATCTGTGGAGACACAAGAGGGTGCCAGGGTCTGGGTCTGCTCCTCCAGGACATCTGGGGGCTGGGAGGATGTCGGGAGCAAAGGGGCATCACTACTCCCTCCCATACAAGAGCCAGGCCATACCCTTGGAGTGCCCCCAGTTTGAGCCCAGATTACCCCCCCCCCAAGACTCATCCTGGCCCTTGGGGGAGCCAGGTTTCAGCTGTGTGTCTTAGCTGGGAGATCTGACCTCTCTAAGCCTCCAAGCTGCTCCCTTTTGTCCTGGGGAAAAAACTTTTGCCCCATTTCTCAAGGCAAGGGCCCCATACAGAGGGGTGGGGGCAGACCAGCCTGGGCTCCCCAGCAAGGGCTCCCGGAAATATGGGGAGTCAGGACTGATGGAGCGGGTGGCAGGCCTTACCACGTGGTGGCTGCTTTTCCCCCACCAGGGCCTCAGTTCCAGCAGCTGGTGGGTGAGCTGGGCGCAGCGCACAGCAAACACACTCTCGGTCACACAGAACACTAGCGAGATGCCCCAGAGGCACAGGCTGGAGCTCTGCAGGGGCACAAGGGGCAGGATGGACAGGAGGGGGTCTCCAAGAACCCCTCCCACCTCTGATGAGCACCTGGGTGTCACCCCCCCACCCTGCCCCCTGCCCCCCACCCCTGCCATCCCGGGCCTAAGCACTCACGTAAATGCGTGTGGGGTCGAAGGGACAGTCGGGCACCAGTACCAGCACTTCGGAGCTTCCAAAAGTGCAGGTGGCCAGCAGTGCCCGGCCCTGGGTGGCAAAGGTCACGGCGATCGAGGCCAAGAGGCCCAGAGTACAGGTCAGAGACAGAAGGGCACAGGCCATGCTCGAGCTAAACACTGTCCAGCGCTGGATGGGGGAGGCCACTGGTCAATGGATGTCAGGCTTGGCCCCCATGGGGTCAGCCTTGCTCCTTCCAGGCAGGCCAGGCCCTTGGGGGTGGCCGCTGCCCCTACAGCCCCTCCCAGGAGGAGCCACATACCAGGGGGACACTGGGCAGGTAGCGGGACAGCACGATGGCTGCAATGCCTGAGACGATGACCTGCGGGGAAGGAGAGTAGGCAGGGGGTCAGGGCCACTCTCGGACAAAGACTCCATTGGCGCCAACTCTGGCCCTCCCAGCCCCCAGCCCCTCACCCCGGCTCTGCTTTGGCCTCACCATCTCCATCTGCACAGAGGCACTGCCTCCTCACGGTCCAGCCCTGAAGAGACGTTTCTAGTACCCGGTAACTCCCTGCCTACAACCTTCCGTGCCTCCCTACTGCCTCTAGTTGTGTATCTCAAACAGGCACCCGTGTAGCCCAGGGCTGCAGGGGCATGTCACAGAATATATATGACACATCTCCCTGGAGTGGAAAAGATTTTGGAAGACACTAAGTAACTCAACTGGCAAGGAACTAAAAACAAAATTGTTCTTTTAAAAAGTCAGAAAACTTTGTGGAGTAGGGGCGCCTGGGTGGCTCAGTCGGTTAAGCATCCAACTCTTGGTCTCAGCTCAGGTCTTGATCTCAAGGTCCTGAGTTCAAGCCCCGAGTTGGGCTCCATGTCAGGCGTGGAGCCTACTTAAAGAAGAAAAAAAAGAGAGAGAGAGAGATAAAACGTTATGGAGTAGAATTCTATGCGCTGGGCCCATGGGAGGCAGGCTGTCTGATGGGACGGCAATGTCTTTAATTCACCAAGCGGACACAAGTAAGTGCCTTAACCTGTTGGGGCCAAGCCCCATGCGGCAGGATGAGCTCACAGAAAGGACACGAGCTTTGGCGTCAGACACAAATAGTTTCAAATCCAGCTCGGTTTCTTTGTATCAGCAGGGCAGCGGTGAATCCTCAGTGTGGCCTCCCCGTCTGGAAAATGGGGATAGTCGTGGCCCCATGTTGCCGGAAGCAGGGAGGATTAGCTGAGGGAATGAGGGCAAAGCTGAAGGGGTGTGGCCCGTGGCCCATCCCTGGTGATCTTCTAACCCCAAGCTCACGAGCTCAGCTGAGCTCACCTCTCTGCTTTCCCTGACTTCCTGACAAGGCTGGTGAGAGGGACGAACCACAGTAACAACAACGCTAGGGGACGCCACACACATCTCTGCGGCCCAGCCCCGTCCCATTGACTGTGGCTCTCCTGCTTGCTGGGGCCCCGCGATCTTCACTCACCCAAGCCTTGGGGCCAGCAGGCTGTTGGAGCTTCCCTTTGTAGAGACAGAAACAAGTCCCTCAGCCAGGAGGTGGCAGAGATGGAACTCCAGACTTTGATGCACGGATGTTGCCCCAAGGCTGCCGCCAGCACCGCTAACAGGTGGGAAAGACCTTTCTGACCTTGAGAATACCAGGCCCCTTCATTCCTGCATTCCTCAGACAGGTACTGGCATCCAGGCCAAACCATGGCCGCCATTAATTGAGCACCTACCATAGACCAGGCCTAATGCTGAGTTCCTGCCAAGTTGGTTTTTTCAGTGTCTCCAGAATAGATCTTAACCATTCCCACCTCCACATCTTTGCCTCTGCCATTCTCTGTATTTGGAATGTCATCCCAGCTTCCTCTCCTACTTGCCGGCTCCAGCATGCCTCCTATCTGGGTTATGGTAATTACAGCCTATCTTTGAACTCCTACTCAGCCATCAATACCCAGCTCAGGGGCCTCCACGTCTGTGAACCCTCCTGGACCCTCCCCACCTGAGCTGATGCTCCTTCCTTCTGTCCAGCACTGCCTTGACTAGTTCCCTCTTGTCATCATAATCCAAGCTCGCAATAGCGAGCACTGCCCAGGCATCAGATACTGGGACAAGCACTTTATGGGGATGATTTTTTTTTTCAAAGATTTTATTTATTTATTTGACAGAGAGAGACACAGCGAGAGAGGGAACAGAAGCAGGGGGAGTGGGAGAGGGAGAAGCAGGCTTCCCGCGGAGCAGGGAGCCCGACGTGGGGCTCGATCCCAGGACCCTGGGATCATGACCTGAGCTGAAGGCAGACGCTTAACGACTAAGCCACCCAGGTGCCCCTACGGGGATGATCTTAATACTCACGGGGACCCTCTGAGGTGGACACTGTTATCTTCCCCATGTTATAGAAAAGGCAGCTGAGGCACAGAGAGAGGCTGAGAGCCTTGTCCAGTGGGTAAGGGGCAGAGCAGAGGGCGTGAGGGGCTCTACTTGCCCACCCCAGACTTGGGGCGGGGACTCATCAAAGGCCTTTCAAGCCCCCGCCACTCCCCTCACCGGTCCCCCTCCCCGCCTGGCCATACCACAATGGCAGACGTGACAGACAGGATGTTGACCACGCAGTATTGCAGGGCCACAGCGTCGTGCGGGCCAGCCACGTAGCGCAGCACGGTGCCGTGGAGGAGAGTGGCTGCGATGAAGCTCATGTGGCCCAGCACCACCAGCACCAGCCCTGTCTTCATCAGCACCCTCCGGAAGTCCTCCATACTCAGGCCACCTGTGGACCACATGGGACAGCCATGTCAGGGCCATGGGGGCGGGGGGGGGGGGTGCGGCGCAGCCTCTGGCAGAGGAGAAGACTGAGGCCCCAGCAGGAGTAATGGACACTAGGCTCTAAGTCTGTTTCTGGATGACTCGGGTAACTTGTCTTGAGCCTCAGTTTCCTCATTTGGAAAAGGGGTTCACAATGGCTTCATGAGAGTCTCTGGAACTCTAAGGCTAGAAGAGCACACGGGTGGTACTTAATGAAGGGTCACAGTCCACATGAATGCTCAAGTCCCCAAGGGGCAGGGCCACAACTTGAACCTGGGTCTCTAGCTCTGGATCCATGGTCTTTCCGCTAAGCTCCCCATTCACTGATTTATTCATTCAGGAATTCGTTACACAGATGTTCCCCGAGTACCTGCTCTGTGCCAGGCCCTAAAGCACCACAGTGAGTTGGACAGTCACTGTCCAGGCCCCAAGGAGCCCCTAGTTCATGGACCAGGGACCAGGTCCTGCTCAGGATTCACTTTGGGGTATAGAGCCGGGCACACAGTAGATAATCAACTCACAATTGCTGAACTGACTTGGGGCAAGAAACTCAAGCCTCTGAGTACCCATTTCCTCATCTTTAAAGTGGGAAGAATAACCCCTGCCTCCCAGTGGAGAAGGAGGGTCCCATGAGGAGATAGTGGGAGAAGGAGGGAAGGTGGGAAGGAAGTGGGGAAAGGAGGGAAGGTGGGTGGGGCATACCGTGCAGGTGCTGGGAAAAGCAAGCTCTAGGTGCAGGGGCACTGGACAGGGACAGGCCAAGTGGGGGAGGCTGGGGTCAAAAGAAGACCAGAGACACGTATGCAAATTCCTTCTGAGTGGCCAAGTAGCTACCCAGTCCCTATGTGCGCACCCCAGGAATAGGGAACCCTCTTCCTTGAGCAGCTCAGGCTGTTCCATATCTGCCCTCTGGAATGTCCCCTATGGGTTCTGGCTCTGCCCCCGAGGACACACACCATGCTAGCCCCCTGGCCCTGTCAGCTTCCTTATTCCAGCCAGTTCTGAGAGACTGGGAGACTGGCAACCCCTGAATTAAGCAACCCCTCTTCTTTGTTTAGCTCTTCCCCATGGAACCTGTGAGTCCCTTCTCAGACCTCAGTCTCCCCATCTGTGTCAAAGAGGGTTGGGTCATATTTCATATTATGGGAGCCCTGTAGCTAAGAGAGATGAAAAAAAAAGAGAGAGAGAGAGAGAGAGAGAAAGGAAGGAAAGAAGGAAGGAAGGGGGGAAGAAGGGATCATAACTTGGGGGCCCTGTGCCAAGAGGCAGTCCCTAGGGAGCAGGGAGGATAGGGCCATGGTCACAGCCCTCCTGTGCGACCTTGCCATATGTAAAACGGGGAGGGGCTGGTCTAGCTGTCTGAGACCCCTGGAGCCTGCAGGGCCCTCTGGAGCTAGACCAGGTCTAGGAGCAGAGGGCCGATGATGGGCTTGACAGGCACTGTGGGACTGGAATGACATTGTGAAGATTAACTGCCAGCCAAACAGGAAGCTTCGTCCCAGGGACCTGACCCACCTCACACCATCCACCCACCTACCCGGCAGCCCAGACACCACCTGGCTCAGGGTTGGGCTCATGAACAACAACAACAACATCGTAGGACCAAGACTCGGTCAAACCAGAGATCCCGTGCCAGTATGGGGCTGTGCCCAGAGCCCTGGACTGAGTCTCAGGGCAGTCCTGGCATCTCTAAGTGACCATTCTTAGAGCACTCATCAATGTGGTTGGCACAGTGGTAAGCACTTCACTCTTAGGAGCTCACTTCCTTCTCACAGTAGTCCTAGGAGGTGGTGCTACCATCCCCATTTTACAGATGAGAAAACTGAGGTTCGTAAGGTCTCTTGGCTAGAGAGTGGGGAGTCCCCAGGTCCGTCTGCTGCCCAAGAGCAGTATCACTGTGCCGAGGGAGTCAGGGGAGAGGACACATCGGTCCCACTCTGTCTGGATCCTGTTTGCTAAAGGCCCTCCCATCCCCTCCTGGTTGGAGGAGCGGAGGGTTGGAAGTGGGAGCCTTTGGCAAGGCTGAGGAGGTGAAAGAGCAGGGAGCCTCAGAACTCTCTGGGCCCCGGATCTCTCTCCCTCTGCTCTCCCTTGCTGCTCTCTCCAGCAACTCTCCTCCTCCCGCCTGGGCGTCCCTCCTCCGCAAGAAAGGAAAGTGGGGGCGAGGGGCGAGGGGCGGAGGCGCTACCCCACCTCGAGAAGATACTAGCAGCCCCCCTCCCTCCACCTCCCTGCTGGGGAAACAGGCCGAGAGCGGCAAGTGACCCGCCGAGAAAGCGGCGCGGACCCCGGAGTTCCGGGCTCCGGCCAAGCGCTCCGCCCCCGCGGGAGGATCCGGGGCGGCGGGGGGCCTCGCGGGCCGCCCCGCCGCGGCTCACCCAGGCGCAGACACATCTCGGCTCCCGCGCCGGCTCTCCGCGGCCGCCTCAGCGGGGCTCCGGGTGCCGCGGCCGGCGGGGTCCCGCTCGCATCCCGGGCCGCAGCCTCCGCGCCGGCCCGCCGCCCGCGCCTGCCCGCGCTGCCCGCGCCACGCCTCCGACCAGCCCCGCGCCGCGGGCTCGCCGGCGCCCGGCCCGGCCTCCCTTCCCGTCACCCCCCGGGCGGCCCAGCCCCGGGAGGGCTGGCGGCTCGTTTGCATCCCGGGCCGGTCGGACCGGCCGGGCGGCCCTGCCCGGCCGAGTCACGGCGCTGGCCCCACCCGCCGGGCCGCCTGCCTCGGCGTCTCCCGCCGCCCCCCTTAGCCCACCCCTCCGCGGGGGTTCCATTGCCCAGATGAACACTGAGGCTCCGAGGAGCCACGGTCCTCCGGAGGGCGGCCGTGCGCGCCTGGGCTGTGGCTACCGTGACCCGGGGGGCGCCTGCACCGGGCAGCCCCCGGGGTGCAGGTTGAGAATCTACTTCTTTCTAGAAGATGGGGAGGGGCAGCCGTGGTGGTACAAGAGCACTGCTTGGGGAACCAGAGTCTGTCCCTGACTTACTGTGTGACCTCAGGCAAATCACTTCCCCTCTCTGGACCTTAGTGTTACCCGTCCTGGGAGGCTTCGGTCCGCCACGCTGAGCAAGGCGCTCTATTTCTCTGTCTTGGGGGCGGGGGAGGGGCCGAGGGGGGTCTCTGTTCTTTCATTGAAAAATCGGGGATAACAACTGCTGTCCTTTAAGGCCGCGGTGAGACAAAAGGAGAGAGAAAAAATGAGATAGGAAAACACTTGGGAAGTTCTCTACCTTCAAAGACCAAGTGTAAACCTCGCAGGAACCCATACTGGGAGCTTTGCTTATCCTGGCTCCTGGTTACTGAGCCGCTTTAATGTGTCAGGATGAACCCCTGCCCTCCCGTTTCCTCCTCAGCACCTAGAAGGGGACTCACCCAAGAGCACCCAGCCGGAAATGCTGGAGTAAGGGGGCACCCAGATTCCCATTCAGGTCTCGGTGCCCGTCTTCCCCAGTGTGGCAGTGCTGTGGCTGCCTCCCTGGGCTTTCTTGGCCCTCGGAGCAGGACTCTGGGAGGCACCTCCGTGGTATCTGGGTAGCACGAGTTCATGGTCTGCACCCCCAGCCCACTGGGCAGTGGCCTTAAGGGCAGGGGGGCTTGCTGCATGGAGCACCGATGTCCACTGGATGTGCCCTTCCTGCACACCCGTAGTGGGGCCAACCATATACCCTGTGTGTCAGACATCCGGGTCAGCACACAGAGCCAAAGGAGGGAGCGGAGCCATCTGACACTGGGGCTGGGGAGCCCCCTGGGGTGTTGGCAGATGGCCAGAGTCCGGCAGGCTGGTCTGCCAACCCCTCAGCAGACATGCTTCACCGTTATCTGCTGTCTGAGGGGGGACCATGCCCAGCAGGGGCAGAGTGGGGAGGAAGACTCTCAGGGTGGAAGGCAAGATGCGGGCAGGTCAGGAAGCCCTTGGGCTGATCCCCTCCCAGGCTGGCATTTGAATTTTTATGTCCTTAGAGACAGCCTTTCAGCAGGGCAGTTGGGCAGTACTTACCCGCCTTGTAGTGGTCAAACACTTGTATTTGTGACCCAGCAATTCAATTTCTAGGTCTTTATCAGACACACCAAAAAGTGCAAAAACGGGTATGCATTTAATGATGGTTATGGACGAGCTGTTCCGAATAGCAAGCAATAAACCAAAGTGACAACCGAGAGAGGCGTGGCCCCAAGGAGAGGGAGGGGAGGATTTTGCTTTTTGTTTTACATGGGGCTATATTGTAGGAGTCATAAAATGCACATTGATTCATGTCTTGCTTCTGTTACAGAGAGAGAAAGAAACGGCCCCCTCATCACTACCCCCTGCCCCGCTCCACTAAAAACTTTCTGCTGACAGAGGCTGCCTCCCACGGGCTGCCCTGGAGAGCCCATGTGGTCCCTGCAAAGCCGATGCCAAATGTCCCGTGTGTGAGCGCGTGTGGCCTGTCCACTGTGTCGGGCAGTTCCCTTGACACTCAGTCCATCTGGGCCTTCTGGGAATTAGGCTGGGGACCCAGATCTCTTACGTGTCTCTACTTTCAGATTCATAGATGAGGGTTCTCTCTCTCCATCCTTGGAACAATACTAAGTTCAAGGTTATTACCCCGTTTTAAAGATGAGAAAATTGAGGCCCTGACAGATAAAAGGCTTTTCAAAGATCACACAGCAGGGACGCCTGGGTGGCTCAGTCGGTTAAGCGTCTGCCTTCGGCTCAGGCCAAGATCCCAGGGTCCTGGGATCCAGTGCCCACATCAGGCTCCTTGCTCAGCGGGGAGTCTGCTTTTCCCTCTCTCTCTGCCCCCTCCCCCTGCTTGTGCTCTCTCTCTCTGACAAATAAGTAAATAAAATCTTAAAAAAAAAAAAAAAAAAAAAGATCACACAGCATGTATCAGTGGTAGGGCTGAGCCTTTGTACCTGTGAAGAAAACTCCTGAGTGGGGGAAGGGACCGTGGGAGTGGGGCAGTGGGGAGGGGAGCCCCAGCCTCCAGGGATGG